CCAGTCAAACGGTAAGTAGGTGTCGGTCGCATATTAAGGCGCTAGCCACTTGCCCGGTCAGTGGGAGCGGCGGCGTGGCGTGAGCGGTTACCTCAGCGCACCATTTTGGCAAAGAGAGTAGGTGGCTGAACGTTAACGCCGACGTCGAAGTTGACTTTACTGCTGCCGTCGCTGTGCCGTTACGCTTATGGCTAGCAGCAGAGAAGCTAGCAGAGTTTGATGAGCGCATTGCAAAGGCGTTAAGCAAATTAATGACGGCGACGTCGTCGTCCAAATCTTTGGGGAGTAGCTACGACAGCGACGTCGGCAGTGGCAGCGGCAGCGGCTGCGGTATCGACGTCGCAGTCAGTGCAGGAATTTTAATGAGCGCGATATTTAGTTTGCGAGCCACACACACATAATAAGTTATTAGAAGCACTTACACACACACGCATACAATTGTATGTACAATTGTGTGAGTCTGTGTGTGTGCTCCCACGAATACCAACAACAACACGGATTAGTTTCTGTTAAAACAGGGGGGTTAGCATTTGTAATGGCTAAAAATATGTTTACCTGTCGTATTTCCTGTGTTTCGGCATCCATCTTGGAGATGGGAGATGACGATGATGACGCTGCACTTTACCGTCTACCGAGCCAACGACTTTTGACTAAATTCTTGCAATGAAATTGTTGCTGCAGTTGCAGTTGCAGCAGCGGGGGCAACGGATGTCACTGGCTGTCCGACGCCCAGTCTCCGCTGCACTTGCAGTTCACTTTTCTTTCTTCACTGGCCAAGCAGTTTATTGTTGCTGTCGTTGCCGTTGTCGTTGTATTTTCCACACTTTCCTTATTATGTTGGGGTCTCTTGCTCTCGTACTCACACTATCTCTCCCTCTCTTTCTTTTTCTTCCTCTTCTTCTTTCTCTCTTTGGCTTGGAATTTTCACTTCAGCCGTCGAGCAGCCTAAAATCACGCACACAAACACATTAATACAAACATATATAAATATTTATAAGCACTTTTACAACTACATATTTTTGAATTTTTCGCAAAAAATTAATTGCGCGCACGCATTTGCCAACTATTCGCGAAGCACAGTAACAGTAGCAGCAACAGCAACAACAACATGCGGAGTAACACAAAACATAGAAAGAGGAGAAAAGTAGCAAAGGAAAAATGTGAATCATTCACTGGGCGAACTTTGCAGTGGGCGGCAACAGGGGGTTGACTTTGCCGTGGAATTGTGCTTGGCACAATAACAGAATAACAGAAGCAGAGCAGCACAGAGCTGAGCAGAGCAGAGCAGTGCACTGCAACAGCAGTTACGCAGCGGCAGAGGTGGCAATGATTTTTAGTGGCTTGTCACAGCATCAGCTGTTGCAAATAGGGGTCAGAATAGACACAGAAAGGCACTTTTTGATAAACTGACGTTAGTTTTTGGTTAATTAGTGCACAATATTTGGCGTGGCAGTTGAGTTTTTTGCAATTTTCCACTTTTCCGCAATTGCAGGCAGTAATAAATGAAAACATTTTTTTTGCCTTGCTTGTTGTTGCTGTTGCGTTCGCCACTGTTCTCTCTCTTTTATGCGCGATACGCCGTCCGACTGGTAGACACTGTTATGCTCTTCGCTCTCATTGGCGACTAGGCGTATGATGACGACGGCGACAGCGACTGCGGCAGCGACGCCAACGTTGACGTCAGTTTGCGAGCAGCAACGAAATGATGACCGAAAAATGAAGCTATGTGTGCGTGGTAAACGCACATTTTTCTTAAATTTAACATTGCTTTACCGCCTGGATTCATACAAATGCATTTTACACGCTACGCGCTCGGTTCGCATTCAATTTAACACTTTCTATTTAATTACAAATGCACTTAAGATCGAATAACAACTAGCTGCTGCTCTTCTAAAATTTTCTCTGAATGCAAGTGTTCAACAGTGTCAATATATTGCCTTTGTTAACACTGGCAGCAGTAGATTGTGGTTCAATCGACCAACCGCCACAAATTATCAAACTATCAACAACGCTATTGTTTAACTGAATCATATGAATCATTTGATACAATATATACTATAATACCAAAGATATTTTTAAAATGTTAAACATTTCATTTTTTAAAACAAACGCATTTCATTTTATACATAATTTTTATTTAAAAATATTATTTTATTTGTCAAATCATGATTATGATTTACATCATTCAATAAATTTCGCGCTTTAGCAAATATTTTTTGTGATGTCACATTAGAGGCAGGTGTGCCCAGAATTGTACAACTGATGTGGTATAACAACGGAAAATTATCTTTGTTTGAGTGCCACCAATGCAAGACATCGAACCCATCGATCAGAGGCACTTGAAGATCGGAATATCTTCGAATTTCTCTCATAATTTTGTCTTCGTTTGTGTGCAACGCAACGAAATCCGAGAACAAATCATCGTCATCCAATTCCTGTTTGATGTGAACTTCCTCTTGATGCTCGCTTTCTATGGGACAATATCTTTTCATTAATAACTTGCATTCCTCAATTGTCTCTTCTTTTTCGCCCTGGGTGCACTGCAGCAGCTGATTAGTGGGTGGAAACAAATACATGGCCATCTTGTGATGTTTGCGAATATATTTGGTTGATAACTCTTCCAAAAGCTCTCTCAGTTTGAACTTCATCTTACCCACAAGTTCGTTTATAGACGAGCCGCTGCATAACTTTCGCAATCTGTGTACAATTGGAATAACCAAATGTAAAGTTGGTTGCACTTCATCCTCTAAAATATTGCAGAATTTTACGAAATGGCTGAGAATCTGGACTATTGACGAAATCTCGTTATTTTTTAAATTTAATATCTGTTCAAATCCATCTCTGCTCTCTCCACATAGATTTAAGATATCCAACCAATTGATATCTATTGAGCTTAGCATATGGTATATGCTATTCCATCTGCTTGGAGCGTAGTTGATTAACGGATGATCTAAGCTCATTGAATCGCCCGACATTTGCAAATAGTTTATGAGATTTTTGGCTTGGCCTAGGATTTCCTTAAGTTCGGTTACTTCACTGAATGCTTGCTCAATGAGTTTATTGAGCAAATCACTCATGCAGTTTATGATTTCAACTCCCAGGGATAATTCATTCAAATTTGAATCGACAGCTGTTACAAAAATGGGCTTGTCCTCAATCAACTCGCAATCAAATTGGCTCATGATTTGATCAATTTTTGATTTGAAAATTGAATCTAATAGAAGAATAAATAAAAATATATTAAAAAATTATTAATATATATCCAGCAATGCTCACCTGTGCAGTCGTGCTCCTCGAGGCAACTAAATGAAAGCAATCGATGCTCTAGTGCACTGTCCTTAACGTAATGCATAGTCAAGCACAGGTGGGTGCTCTTCATATAGCTATCTGGACAACTGCTGCAGGTAATGCTGTATCCATGGCCTCTAGCTTCACTCACTTCCAAGCGCAACTTTTCCATTGATTCATAGTAGCGCGTATTAATGTTTCCAGAAATGGCGGCTGCCTGAGGCAAGAGTTCTTTCACTTTGAGTTGTCTACCAAAGTTGGCGCCGATTTCAATGAAAAGTTCTGCCAGTTTTCTAAAGCCGGCATCCTCCACAATTTCCAAAGGACGACAGTTATTCACAGTCCATTCACTTAAGACAAAAGCTAGTTTTTCTTTTGTTTCGGTGTCCAGTATAGATGAGCTATTCTGTTCATCCAATGGATCTGTAGTATCAGCACTGTACTCCTGTTCATCCGTACTCTCACGTATATTCCAATACTTGACCTTAACTCTTTTCATTTCCTTCGGCGATTCATTTGAATCCAAATCTTCAATCGCATTCTTATAGCATTTGTGTCGAACCAAGTTCGAAGTGCTGCCATGGAATTTGAAGACACTTGGGCACGTACGACATATCACATTATTAATCTCAGTTCCATTCTGATCAATAACTCTGGAAAAGACATTCCAGACTCTACTACGACTTCGTTTCGGAACGACTTTAAATTCTCCACTCTTAATTCTGTCTCTTATCGAGGCATTGTCATAGCTGCCCGATTCATCTTTCATTTTTCGACGATTTTTCTATTAATAGTCCAAATTCACATAAAAATCTACTCATACTTACTAGTATATATATCAATACGTACCAATCAGTATGCCAAAAGCGATTATGCAGATTCATGAGTCATTTGCCTTCTATTGAGTGGACTGCTTTGACAGCACAGTATTATTTTTACACAACGCGAAATAGTTTATGATTTAAATCAACTGAAGTATGCCTCTGAGCTCATTTAGAAAGGAACTTAAATATGTCTATTCCATAATTTCATACAATGAAATACTTTGTAGTCAATTAAATACTTGTGGTGTGATTGTATTTTAGTAATGCCAAATATGACTATCGACCGGCCGCCATAGCCAATCGGCGCTAAGATTGTATACGAAATCCAACAGTAATTATGCAGCACACTGATTTAATGATAGGTTTAACTTTAGTAGTAAGCAAACTTAATAAAGTCACAAGTATATTCTTAATTTTTAAACGCAACTTAAATTAATTAATATCAGATGCTTATGTTGATATCACTGCAAGTATCGAAGGCTTATCGATGTGCCATCGCAAACATGGAATTGGACGATGGCATATCTGAATCATGTGAATCATAGCTTCAAAGATTTAGTGAAATTTGGACGAACCTTATTGCGGTATTATATACACAAGACAAAGTAGAGCATATATATATTTCTATATATTATTATTAAACGTCCAATTTGAATGCTTGTTATTGCATTTTTTTACATAAAAAGAAAATTCAACTTATAACTAACTGGCTGTTTCTCCGAAAAATGGTATTGAGTGCATTGTACCTGTCCTGTCATTTATGAAGTACTCTCGCCCTCGTTCTGATCAAGAATTTCTGGCATCCTAAGCAAACACTATTATATAGTTAATAATTGAATTTTTTAAATTTACTAATGAAGACTAGAAATTACACACCATATGTGTGTACACACGAGATTTTACTGGTGGAATTTTAATTGTTTTAAAGCATTATTAAATAGTACACAATTTATGAAAATTTTAAATTTCCCCTTTTGAGTTCAAGATTTGAATTTTCTGTCCCTAGCCGCAAAGCAATGGATTTGTGACGTCATAATATTTCGTGCACTTTCGTGCTAGTGCTGTAAAGTTTTGCATTGATTGGACTGTCGTGCTTTGCAACACGGTTTTGTGCGTGACTAAAAATCGTGACATGCGTGTCGCAAAGTACATTTTACATTTTGGTTTTTATATATTTTTTTGTTGATACCGCCTGCATAGGATAGCAACAATGCACGTCGAAAAGAAATCGGAGCTAAGAAGTCTTCTTAAGTCGGGCGATAAGCGTTGTAAATTGGTTGAACCACGAAATGCAAAAAGTTGTGTTTGGAGATTCTTTAACCTGGTGTCGTGTGATGATCGAATAGAGCCATATGCCTGCTGTAAAACCTGTGGTGATCTATTATCCTACAGCGGGAAAACAGGAACTGGCAGTCTATTGCGCCATAGATGTTTACACACGCCTAACGGTAAGTTTTGGATCTGATATTCACGCACGCCCCCTCACACTGCCACGCGTGTTCAGAGACGGGTATCGTCGTCGTCGTTGTTGTCGTTGATATTGTTTTTTTTGTTGTCATCGCTACTGCCACCGCTTTTCCTAGTGTTGTGATATGTTGTGCTATGCATTTAGTATGCTCCATAATTCGAGGCACTGCAATCGGGCAGGTTAAATTGCCTATCTTAAATTTTTAAATTGCTTCCACCAATTACATACAATCAGCTGAGGGTATATGAGGTGCGCCAAAAATACGGAGTTCGCTAAACGAACTGAAAACCAAATTTAATGAGCGCTATATGAATATAAATCAGATTTGAAAAATAAAATAAGTTTAGCAATGTTTTATATTAACGAATATGATTTTATAATTGTAATGTTAAATGTTGATTTTTTTTTGTAATTTAGTTTCTTTGTTTTGTTTGACTTATAAATTGTCGTTATGCAACACTGTTTTCAGTTAGGATTTTCCAACACCGTCGCCAACAACGCTAACATCGCTATTGCGTTTTTTTGTGGGAAAAAATTATAATTGAGCGCAAATATTTTATAAAGAAAAATAAATAAAAATGCCTAAAGGTCGCGTTAGCAGTGTTTGGCAGCATTACGACATCAATGAGGAGTGCGAAAACTTTGCGGTTTGTCGCTATTGTGGCAATAATATATCGCGTGGTGGAATGGCCAGCAATCTAAAGGGCAACAATACAACCAATTTGTGGACGCACTTAAGGCACAAGCACGCTGACGAGGTGCTCGTTAATCCCATACAACAGCGCCCCGTTAGTCGACCAGCAGTTATTACATTAAAAAAAGGTAAACGCAATATGCAACTAGCGCTTATCACAGCAACATGCATTGACCTATTGACGACGCACCTATCGATCCCGCGCGACTGTCCCCAATTAGAAACTATCGTAAACCGATGAGACGCCCAGCCCTGCCTTACAGCTGCGAGCCGGCAATTAATTGACATATGATTTTATTATCGCAGAGCCTAACTAAAAGATTTGTGATTTTTTTTATTTGTCGTCTCTGCAGAAAAAACGTCTCGCATCGCCAAGGCAAAAGTTGTGCGAGAGCCACTGCGTGTGGCGAAACCGAAAATCGATGTACATGCATCTATAGCTGGTGCATTGCCACAGAAATGGGAGGAGTACGAGCAGAACGACGAAGTTAGCGAGGACATCAAAGACATCATATACAATGAAGATCCGCTCTGCTACAGTCCCATACAAGTGGTCGAGGATGAAATGTTAGACACAGGCGACAAAGTCACCGTAATGACTAGCAGCAGGGTAACCAGTGCAAATCCAGTTGTAGCCACAGTGGTCTCAGCGCCCTCGAGCGCTGCAAAGACATTGAAAAACAATTTGGAAACATCCATTGAGCGGCTGACAACGGTCAGCGAGCAGCTTAGCTACGTTATACAGCAGCAGCAGGAGGAACAACAGCTCAAGGACGATGACTATTACTTCGCACTGAGCCTCGTACCAACTATGCGACAATTGTCAGTGAGCCGAAAGCTGTATGTGCGCTCGAAAATACATGAAATTTTGTACAAAGAGAGTGAGGAGACTACGACTAAAACTGAATAGTAGTTCAAAGTATAAGCTACGGATATGCATAAATCATTTTTAAATTTATCCAAGAAAAAAAAAAGGAAAACAAAGCAGAAATAATACAAAATAACAAAAAAAAAGTAAATTGTATCTTATCAACAATTATTCATGTAGGTTAAAATGTTTCTTTTTTACGTATGTTTTACGTACAATTTGCAATCTTTGTTGGAACATTTAATTAATAAGCACACAACATATGTATGAACAGAGAGGAATTCATATTGATAATTTAGATTGTATGAATGTATTCAAATATTTAATGCAAAACCTTACAAAACGCTAATAAATTTACCTAAGAACTCCAAAACACTGCATACATTATAATCGAATAACTTTAAGTAAAATGTATCTTTACAGTCACAACTTTTAATTTGTTGTCCAATGGTGCAATGAATCGCTATCAACTGTACTCAAATTGTTTCTATACTAATTTTTAACTTGTTTTTCTTCGTGTATAAATGTATATTTCCTATATGAGATGGGTCCCAGCTCTGGCCTTGTGTATAACAATTTTGTACATGCTCAAAATCATTCAGAGAACACATCATCAAACGTTATTTAAGAAATCTATTTAAAGACTCTCCTGTATTTGTTTGGCTTCATCAAATAATCTTATCTGTGGTGCTTATCGTAGCAAACTTAAATGTGAGATTATCACGATTCATGCTGAACGTTTCTTTTTGTTGACTTAGCAATCTTTAGATTACTGTATTATTTTTACCATCTGACTACAGCGTACTAGTTTAGTCCATATACATATAGTGTATTCTATATATATTATAGCCTATCTATACAATTCAAACAGGGCAGCGGTGGATGAGAAAATATAATACGCATAAGTTTCTATTGAATCCAAATGAAATACCAAATATTAGAAAACCAGATTATAACAAAATTCAAAAGCTTTGTGAAACCAAATCTTATGTGAAAAGTTCTTTTCAGATATTTGAACCTTTTACAAATTGTGCTTATTGGTATCTAACTGTCATTCTCTTTCACTTCCAAAACAAAACAAAAATTTCCAACAACATTTCTGACAAGAAAGTGCTGAACTCTGGTTACCTATTCATATTCGTGACAAATCGGAAAATATTATATTCTACTAAGTATAACAGAAACTCTATCATGTGAGATTTTCGAGAGACTTGAAATTTTGAATAAATATACGCACTGACAACCGAAGATTATAAATATATGGTAGGCATATTTACGCCTATTGGAGGCAGGGCAAATCGGGTAATATGGCCGTTTTAGATCTACAATCTGTCTTGAAATTTTCCAAAATAATTTTGTTTTGATTCCGCAATTTAGAGTGAGTTTTAAATTGTCAAAAATGTTTCGTTTATGTTTTAAATAAATTTTATTTAAATAACTTGTTGAGATTTACAAAACAGAGAGCATTACTAGTATAGTATAATTTACAAATCGATTTCTGGAGCTAATTCGTATGGCTTATGCAATGCTTAGAACTAGAAATGTTTATTCTTTTTATTTGTTTTTTTTTTCTTAGTTTTTTTGTATCAATAAATTGTTTGTTATAGCTTTCAATGTGTTTGTTTCTAGAAATACGCGTATATATTATTATACAATATCAATTACAATAAATCCTACAGATCGAGTAATAAACAATGTTCTTACTATATATATCATATGCACCTCCATATATCATATCTATATATAGATATACACTGACGAGCAAAACTGTAACACACGTTCAATGTTCTCACTTCAACGGTCTGTATTATCTTTTATACTTTATGCATGATTATGATCATAGTCTTGTTTCGTTAGTGAAATATTTGGCTCTTTTATCTATAAATTTGAAGACATTTGATTAGCGATAAGAGAAATACAATAGCAAAGAGTAAAAAAAGTCAAATGTTACAGTTTTGCACTGCAAATATTTTTAAACAAATATTTTTATTAATTTTTTTTTAATAACGGGTCCACAGCCCTTTTGATTTTTTGAGGTTGTTTATACGGTTTGGCATACTTTGCGTGTAGCGTCGCACCATTTCAGGTGGAATCGAGTACCAAACGTCCTTCGTTCTCTCTCACAACTCCATCCTGCCATTTGGAGGGGCCGCATATTTCGCAAGCTGCGATTTCAGATGGCTCCATACATTTTCTATGGGATTCATGTCTGGAGATTGCGGTGGCCACTTCATAGTTTGAAACTTTTGGTTCAATAACCAATTTTTCACCAAATGGGATGTGTGCTTTGGGTCATTGTCTTGCTGAAAAATGCAATTTTCAACAGCCAGACCCATGTTGCCAATGACTCCTCCCAAATTTTCTTGAAGAATTTTTAGGTATTGCTCCTTACGCATTATCCCATCGATTAACAGTAGGGCCCAACTCCATTTGTACAAATACAGCCCCAAACCATTATGGACCCGCCACCGTGCACCGCACTGTATTTGCCGATTGGACTGTGGGATTCCTAGTCCAATACCACGATCGTCCGTCTGACTTAAAACGATTAATTTTAGTTTCATCTGACCAAATAACCTTGAAAAAATTAGTTTAGCATCGTTTAAGCTTTTTATTTGTAACTTATGGCATCCCAATCAGCTAGAGCCCAATTTTCATGCATTATAGCAAAATTTCTACGCAAATTAATGTGCCTTTTAGCTAGAAATGGTTTTTTTTTCTTTCATTGGCCTTAAGCACCAATCTGCCGAGACTGCGACGGACTGTCCACTCACTGGCATTTAAATTTAACACATTAGCCGCTTTTATTGGCATAAAGTCGCGATTGCCTGTAACTAAGTTAGCCAAGTGGCGCGTGTCACGTTGGCTTAAAAGTCGCGGTCGGCCTCCTTTATTGATTTTAATGTTTTCTGAACTGTTTTTGTTTTTAACACTGCACAGTCATGTGGCTAACACCAAATTTATTAGCCACTTTCCTAACGGATTCGCCCCCTATCAATAATTCGATTATTTCCTTTTTCTTTTCATCAGCCATCATAATTATTTTGCAAATTGACTTAAAATGATCAAGGCTTATCGATTTAAACAAAAACAAATAAGTTTTAATGGTAAAAAAAGCTTTGAAACAAAAGTAAATAGGTTTTGCTCTGCGAGTGCAAAACTGTAACATTTGACTTTTTTTACTCTTTGCTATTGTATTTCTCTTATCGCTAATCAAATGTCTTCAAATTTATAGATAAAAGAGCCAAATATTTCACTAACGAAACAAGACTATGATCATAATCATGCATAAAGTAGAAAAGATAATACAGACCGTTGAAGTGAGAACATTGAACCTGTGTTACAGTTTTGCTCGTCAGTGTAGATGATATTATATGCTGTGATGCTAGTCAACAAATGTCTTTAGTTGATTAATCTTCTGCTGCTCTGCTTCTTCTCTATAGTGGATGTTTCAATACGAATGAAGTTTATATATTGTTTTTGATTTTTATAGAGTTTAGTTCATGCAAGATGGGATCTGATTAAGTGCACCATTTGACTGCCAAAGATCGTTCTTTAAGTATGCTTTATGCTATTTACTTTAATTTATTTGTTAATTTGCAAATTTCAATATGTTTGGGTATATTTAGCTAGTCCCAATCGTATATATATATAACTTTTATTTGTAGGTATTTAGCATTTTGATTACGGTTCTTTATCTACTTTTTTGGGGCAAATTTCACTTCGTATAACTTTTCGAAAAATGATATGATATATGATATAAACTGTTTGTATTCGAACTTCAAAACAAAAAGAAGATATATATATATATATATATATGTATATATATATAATAGTTTATGTATTTCTTATGTATTGGTATTTAATTTTCGTATACAAGCATTTAGATATATCCAAAATTGATTTAAGTTAATTCCATTCTTCGTTTTCGTTTTTGTATAATATTTTCGTATTACTTTCAGATGGTTCGTATTAATGTTGGTATATTTAGGTGTAAATTGGTATATTTTGTTCTATTCACAGTTTTGATTACTACATCCGATAGAATATTTGATATATATAGTATATATATGGTATATATATATATGTACATATATCGATTAATCAAGCATAGCTGAAATGTGCAGAGTCGACTCCGTTTCGAACTTCACATTATCTTATGATATTATTATATGATATGAATGATTTGTTTTCTTTTTTTTAATTTTTTCATATGTTTTCTGTTAGTTTGATATGGACTTAAAAGAGTTTTTCTTTTTCTTTTTATTTTCATTTACAAGGACATTTATCAAAAAAGTAATCAATCAAAAATAAACAACTTGCTTTCATTATTTTTATTTTTTTTTCATTTTTCAATAAATATTTAATTTAAATTTTTTAAATATTATTGAATTTTGGAAACAGTTTTTTATCGCTTATTGCACTTTCGAGCGTCTTTTTGTTTTTGTTTCATTTTCATTGGTTACTTTTGGATGTGTGTGTGTGTGTGTGTGCGTGTGTGTGAGTGTGTGTGCTACTTCAGCAAGGACATCCGACTACCTTAATAATAATATTATTTACTGGATGTCACCAGCTGACTGGTGCTATAGCCCTGTGTGTTGCAGGTGGGCAGGGCAAATGGATTGAAGCTCAAGCTGCTGACTCCTGAAAACAAGAGAGAAAATGGTTTAGTATAGAGAATATATAAGGTATATAACTATTGTATACTTAAGCTAGCTACAGCTCATTCAAATTTGATTGAAGACGGTCTGCTACCTTTCCTCAGGCTCTACTCAAATCTGAAACCTGACTAGGCCTTTTCAAAAATTCTAAGTTTTATAATGCGCATATCTTCAAATATCAGACATACTAATATTATAATATTAGTTTATTATCTATATTATAATATTACAAAAAATCTTCAATAAAAACTTAACTCGATATCCAAAAATCAGCTTTACATAGAGAAAGCTATACACAGTTCTATTTATTTTTCGAACTAAAAAGGCACTAGCTCAGTAGAATTCTATTACTCGTCAAACATCTACTGGCAGCTGCCTCAAAAGTCTACAGACTTTCAACGCTTAAGCTACTCTTCGTTAAATTTTCAGTAACTGGTTAAGTTTGAGCAAGCTTGCAAAAAGTATTTTTTGCGTAAAAAGTATTTTTGAAAATAGCCAAATTATTTAAATTTAAATTAAACATGATAAAAAATGTTGAAAATAAATTATAAATACCGTTAAACGTGTGTTGGTTGTGTGTTGTTGTTGTTGTAGCTGTTGTGTATGTGTTTTATGCCAGACACAACGACGGAATCTCAGACACCCACGCTCGCTGGAACTGGAACTGGAACTGGAGTTGGAGTTTGAATTGGAGTTGGAGAGTTACACTGTTATCGCAGCAGCAGCTGCTGCTATTGACCAACAGATGGCGCCAATTTTGATTAGTTTTTGTTCTTGTCACGCATTTAGGGGGCGTCGCTGCCGATAAGATTGTGCTCTTTGTGTGTGTGTGTGTGCTTGGGTGTGCGTGTGTAGTTGTATAGGCTGCTGCCTGATCCATGCTCGATGCTCCATGCATTTATTGCTGCTGCTGCTGCTGCTTCATCCTGCAGTCCTTAAACGGCCGCCGCAGTCGCTGCCGACACGGCGGGATTGTGCCACGGCTGATGCGGATGCGGATAGTGATGCGGGTGGGCGACGGCGGCGGTGGCATGATGATGCTGCACAAGAGCCGAATGCCAAGGCGTCGACACGGACACTGTTGGTGGATTAATGTCGAAAATGCACTTGCTGAGCAAATTTTGATTCACTTTGTGGGCGGTTAGGGGCGGGGCAGAGTTGGGGCGAGTATATAGTATATGCGAGTAGTTGTTTGTTTCGGTTTTGATTGAGTGGTTGAGTTGGTTGGTTATGAAAATTATAAAAAAATATGCACTATTAGCTACAGTAAAGTCTCGCTAAGTCGAAAAGTAGCTCTATGAATGTTTTTTAACAACTTTGAAAATGTTTGAAACATAGGAAAATAATTTTTGTAGCTTTTTATATTTTAGATTTGAATGATGTTTGAAAAAATTATATTGGAAATATTGTTAGATTCGCAAAGGTTTTTTAGAGAATGGATTAATATAGAAAACTTTGAAGCCTTCGACTAACAAAAGAACGAGAGAATTATATAGATAGATTTATAATATATATTATATATTATATACAACTTCATTGCAATCTGATAGTTTCCTTTTTTGTACACTTTCGTTTTCCTACTTTTCGTTCATTGAGGCTTACGATTCGCAACTAGTTCAAACAGCAAAAATATTATTGAAGTTGAATAATATTTGACAATTTGTATATCAACTGAATAGAGCTACCTATCCAATCTGCAGACTGTCAATCTTTTGTTGTTTGGCTTTTCTTTACTTCATTAAGCTTAGTTTCCTTAGTAAGGCCTGAGTTATGAATCATTAATCAATATCAATAACTGAGCATTGATAGTAAGTAGAGCTCAGATGTGAGCTCTACTTACTATCTGCTAGATTACTTAGAAATGTTTTCTATACCAAATCTTATATATTTATATATCAACTAGTTTCCAAGTCGAATCTGGCAGATTCCAAGTTATAGAGACTTACTTGAAGTTGAGTTGAAGACGCTGCCTGGCGATGAGGAGAGCGTACCCATGTTCGGTGCGGGCGCATAGCCATTGGCTGTGGCTGCAACGGCAGCGGTGGTTGCCGTGGCGCCATATGAGCCGCCCGAGCTGTGTGGCGTTGAGGCGCTGCTGCAGTAGCCGCCGCGTGGGCTGACGCTGCTCGATTGGGCGCGCTGATAGTCATCCTCGGTCCACTGGCCGCTGCCATCCTGCACGCTCACCGCCAGTTGGCCAGCGTACGAGTTAAAGCTGGTGGAGCCGCCGGGCGATCTGCTGAGTAGCAAGCGAAGCATTACGATACTTGCCGTTGAGGCAGCTGAGTTGAGGTGAGGCTTACCTGGGCATGGAGTAGAGTGCCTCGACGAGATCTGCGGCGCGCTTTAGTATGATTTCCTTCTGCAGCTTCTCCGGGTCGCCGGGATGCCTGGGTATCAGCTTCTGCAGTCGCTGGAAGCCGTAGTCGATTGTGGGTTCATTGAGAGCTGCTTGATCGATGGGAGGGCAAACATAAGCTTAGACATGCTTCGGGTGGGGGGCGAGCGGGCAATATTATCTCTACTTACAGACATAGACGAAGCGTCCGGGTGAGCCCTTGCAGAACTGTTTGCTCTTGTAGGAGAGCGTCACCTCGACCACGCCGGGTATGTGTCGCGGCGGTGTCTGCACCCGTATCGCGTGCGACGTGATCAGCTCGCTCCAGACCAACATTGTGCCGAAGACCACTTGCAGGCCGTCGAAGAAATTGTCGCCCACGATGATGACTGTGGCGCCACCTGTGGTCCAGCCCTCGCTGGGCGATATCGCCTTGATGCAGGGCGTGGCCACGGGCAAAGGTGGATAGAGGCCTGAAATAGTGGAATGCGTCAGTTGGCAGATTCATTGGGCTAGGCGTTGGTCAGTTAACAGAAGAAAAATCAAGAAACGGGTTCGAGTTGCCAATTGCTACAGAATCGAAAGGAAAATCTCTAAGCAGAACTTAGACTCAACTGAAAACAAAGTAAAAGAAATGTGCTCCGCAGCGGAGGCAACTAACTAACTGATCGAGTAATTGGAATTTAGTTACAGACCATCGTAGGTACTGTCGGGCGCTAGGGGGTGACCGGATATGGACAGGGATGTGTTGCCTGTACCTTCCGTTGTGTCCAGTCGCTTGGCGCGGCGTCCGTGCTTCGAGTTATTGTGCACGAACATATTGTCCGAGATGGCCAGCAGTTCTCTATCAACGGCCACTTGGGTGGCGATAACAACCTGAGAGGAATTATATTATTAATATTATTAATAAATTATTGCAAATATTTTAAATAAGACAAAATATTTATAATCTATTGTTAGAGAAAGGTGCTCTTCGAGTTTATCCCAAACTCCAAGAAATTACAAATCTAAGAGATCTAAAATTGATAGAATTTCCAGATATACATAAAGCTAGAATCATATTCCATTATTTCGAATATGCAGAGATAAGATTGAAAACAAAATTCAGACAGAACAAGAACTTACTAGACTTTTGGAACTATAAATTTAAAAAAACTGTAGATAGACAAGTCTGAAGCTGCTTGAAGTTACCTTATAAATATGAAGAGACTTGAAATTTGAAAGACATCTACAGATGTAGAACCACATGCCATGTTTCCAGATGGAGTTAGAATACACTAGCCATTTCTGGCAGATTCAGGACTCCAAGTAGTCTTAAGCTTGAGTTATGTTATACTATACTGCAGCCCCAGAAGTTATGTGTGACTTGAAGAGTCCTTAGCTAGAGAGATCTAGGACTTCTAGAAGTCTCACCAATGCAAACATGGGAATCTTGGCATTATCAGATGTGCATTTATACGTCACGCAAAAGTATGAAGAATAGAGACTTATGACTTCAAGTAGTTTCGAATATGCATACAGAATGGACTTCAAGTAAGAATACAGAAAAAGTTTCAGCTATGCAAGCTAAGGTATTCAAGGAAATATAACATATATAAAGATCTAGGCATTTGTCGAGTTATACATATAAAAAGCAAAGACTTGCAGAGCTTTCAGATATAGATAACTAAAAATTGAAGTAGCTTTAGATATATAGAACTAAAACTACAAGGAATTGCAGACTTAAAGCCTTCTGCAACTGAGAATTTGCTAATATTTGAATTTTTATCTTTATCTAAAATGTGCTAGATTTTTAGCTCAGTAACCTAAAAATCTAGCACATTTTATATAAAGATAGATATTCAAATATTATCAGTTTCTCAGTTGCCGGACGTCCAGGGCTCTGGAAAGATCTCCCTATCTTTAGATACAACTTAAAGCTATTGAATGAACAATCATATGAAGACTCACCTGAAATCTTCTCATGTCCCGTGGGTTGCCAGCATTTTTGAGACAGTTCTGATTGCACTTCAAGAAGAACTTGAGGAAAAAGCTGAAAGTACGAAAAGATGTCAAAATAAACTCGTTAACAATGCAGCCATTCAGAATGGGCAGCGAAAGCAGGGCAACAGCTTCGATTACTGATTGAGTCAGAGCTCTTTATAAGCTGCTAATGATCGGTTGCGCCTTTTGCAGTTGCCACTTGCCACGTTTTGCGGCAGATGTTTAGCCTGCGGCCTGAGTCAATCCACTTGCCTGGCTAAAACCAGCCTCGGCCTGCGGCGTGACAGCGCAGCGTGCGATACGTGCACTCAGAGGGTGACAGCCATCTGAATGGGATGTCCTGCAGGCAGGATATGCGAGAAATTGACACCCGTGTGTCGCGCATTTAAATGCTAAAATATATATACGTGCAGCAACAGCCGACGGCCTGCTCTGCCACTGCCTCTCCCCCGCTGATTTTATTTGCCGAAATAATATTTTGTTGCTACTGTCGCTGCGGGGCTCCCCCCTCCCCCATCCAATTGGCTGGCATTTGCGCAGCTTTTCCCTTTTTCACACTGTTTTCCGCGCTGCTTTTCGTTGTTTTTCACTCGACAAATTGGACAAATTAGTTGAAGGGGCGTTGCACATGACTTGAACAGCGAGTGGCAGGGGCAGGCAGCTCGCAAACATCTGCATATGTGTCATAAATGTTTGTTGTCATTGTTGTTGTTGTCATTTATGAGAGCTAAGAGGATATCCTTAAAGGCATCAGATGTGTTGAAAGATATTTCTGCCCAGTTTATGAGTTCCCCTAGCAAGTAGTTGGCTTAGCCTGTCTGAGCATCTGAAGGTGATGAAGCTGAATGCGTTTCTGCTGCAGATGCTAAGATTTTACTTTATCTGATCTCATTTTAATTACTTTCGATACTTTGCATTTCCTATTGATACTTTGATTTTCTTCAACTTACAGCAAGCTGCATTAACTGCCTCACTTTGGAGTTGTTCAAGACTTTGCTTGATATAGTTTGTTTACTGTGTGCCACGCCCCAAGAAGCAAGAAAAGGCGTCAACAGCAACTCGATCGTTAAATGTTGATTTTCAGTTATACAACTTTAAAAGATATATTTTTGCTCTATTTGCAACGCTTTCAATCGGTTTAGATATATCGATATATAGAAGATAGGAGAGGGATGGAAAATGGAATATGCAAGAAGAAAGATGAAAGATGGAAAATGAGAGATGGAAGATGGAAGATGAAAGATGAAAGATGAAAGATGAAAGATGAAAGATGAAAGATGAAAGATGAAAGATGAAAGATGGAAGATGAAAAATGAAAGATGAAAGGTGAAAGATGAAAAATGAAAGATGAAAGATGAAAGGTGAAAGATGAATGATGGAATGATGGAAAGTGAGAGATGGAAGATGGAAGATGAAAGATGAAAGATGAAAGATGAAAGATGAAAGATGAAAGATGAAAGATGAAAGGTGAAAGATGAATGATGGAATGATGGAAAGTGAGAGATGGAAGATGGAAGATGGAAGATGGAAGATGGAAGATGAAAGATGAAAGATGAAAGATGAAAGATGAAAGATGAAAGATGAAAGATGAAAGATGAAAGATGAAAGATGAAAAATGAAAGATGAAAGATGAAAGATGAAAGATGAATGATGGAAAGTGATGAAAAATGAAAAGTAACAGATGAAAGATGCAAGATGAAAGATAAATGTTTCCATCATGATGAAAGATGAATGATGAATGATAGAAAGTGAGATATGAAAGATGGAATATAGACAATAGATGATGAAAAATATAAGATGGACCGTGGAAGATAGAAAATATAAAGCTATAGAAGATATAGAAGATACGGAAGATATAGAAAACATAGAAAATATAGAAGATATAGAAGATATAGTAGTTACAGAAGATATAGCAGGTAGAAGATATAGCAGGTAGAAGATATTTAGTCTTTGATTGTGCACGCGACTGTGTAAGCCGCATTTCTAGTTACTAGACATAGTATTTCTAGATTTGCCTGAGGTCAGGCAAACATACATTCCTTATCTCCACGTGAACGAGTATTAAAAAATTATTTGATTTAAATATTAACATAAATAACAAATGTATTTCGACGAGATTACGTTTATCGAAAATGCTTATGATTTTTGCAAAAGATTTATAAATAAATATTAATTGCTGCAGAATAAATGAATGTTCATTCAATTCGAATTCGAATTCGAATTTGAAAAATCACAAAAAGAAACAAAGACACGAGTCCAACACATGCCTCAAACAACATTTCGGCTTATCGTAGAGTTTGAGTAGGGCGCGCGTTAGGCAAAAATTAATTATGAACTGGGATACATTGCCAACCTTGAATAATGTATGTGCAGATATGCATATATAAACATGTATATATATATATATATATAGTAGGTATTGGGCCATGCGAGCTGATTGTGAGCTTGTTGAAATCGAGTTGCTGACGGGAAGGGAATGAAAACAGATGTGTTTATCTTTGCATTGCATACATCTACTTTACTTTTTATTTCGTACACAGTGCCAACAGCAACAACAAACAAACAACATGAGCAGCATCATTAACAAGGCCATCGACATTCCCCTAGGAACTGAGCGCCGTGTCGTATCTGTCAGATGCAATATCGAGTTACACAGCGAGAGTCCCTCACAGATGCAACTTTGTAATTTGAATACGTATCGAGTGGATATTGAGAGCTGCATAGGTTAACTCATTTATGGATCATGAGCTAGCGTCCAACCCCCGTTGTCAGCATTGCGCATCTTTATGGACAGCTAATTGACTTTCTCGGAAGTATCGGGAAACGGCCGTGGTCGTTGCACGCTTGAATTACAATGTTGTCAAATATACTGGCAGGACGCATAAATTGTCGGAGCTAAGAGTCGTGTCGTCCCATTTGCATATGCCCAGCCGCACGAAGGACTGTGAGAATCCTTGCGCTGATTCGATTGAAGCCGAGCCTGGATTTCGCCCCCGCCCCGGCTGCTGGCACAATTAAAAATTCAGCTCGCGTCCTGCCAATAAATCAAAGTGTCGCTACATCTTTGTCTTGGCTGCCGCCAACAAAGTATCCACCTGCCTTGGCCTGCCAGCCAGGCGAAATTTTCATTTAATGAAAAGCTACGCATCATCAGACGCGCGCACACGACATTGGCCGGGCCAGCACAAAATGGCCAAAATGTACAAAATGGCCATGAATTGACTCCATTGGCAGCTCGAGCACGTAGACCCAACGAACTGCATAATTGGTCATTCATATTTGTTTTTTTTTTTACTCTCTTCTTAGGACTAAAGCTGTCAATGGCTCACTGTGTTCGAATGCTGCTTAAGACTTTAAAGTTGCTGAAAAGCGAAATTCCCTAAAATTCCTTAAATGGAAGTGCAAGGAAAGTTTCAACTGATGAGCTGAATGTGTAAGAGATATAGATATATATATCTATATATATTTTGTGTAAAGTTCTGAATTTCTAAGAATTTTTTGCAACGATAAATTCAGAAACTTTTCAGTTTAATTTAATTTAATTTTTCTTAAAAATTAAATTATTAATTTCTTTATATTATTTTTATAGTGCAATAATGAATACTACATAATTTATAATATTTTTATAAAATATTTAATAATTTTAAATTATAAAATATAAATATAAAAATGTAAATTAAAAAATTAAAATATAAATTAATAAATATAAAAATGTTGAGAATAAATGAAAATGCAAAAATCAATGTAAATATATTTTTAAATAGTAAATGTTATCACATTTCTGTTTTATCTCAAAGAGTTCAATCAGTAATTAAAAAAAATGAAGTTTAATATTAAAAAAGGTTCGACTAGAACTTTAAATATTATAAAAATTAAGCAATTATATCAAATATAGTCATTAATATTACTATATATTATTTCATTATCATTACAAAAAAAAAAAAATATTTATTTTTTAAACAAATTAAAGAACTTTTCTAAGATATTTTATATAATCGAAATGTTTACAAAATTAATTATTTTCTTTATTATATAGCTCATAATATGATAAATTCCACAAGAACAACTGTATGTTGCTGCTTAAAAATAAAAAAAAACAAAAGCAATATAATTAAGAATTGCCTTTTGGCATTCGTTTAACAATTGAAATAAATTCGAGCCGGTTGTAAACTTTTGCAGCTTCACGCGAATTTCGTGCCAACGATTAACTGTGAATTTGTGAATCAACAACAACAACAGCAATAACAAGAACAACAACAGTTAAGATAACAACAACAACAACGACAACAACAATAACAACTTTGAGCTTTATCTTTGCATCGCTTTTCACAACAATTTAATGATGAATACGAAACGTGCATAAATCGTTTTGGGTTCCGGGCTCAATGCTCGCTCGCCGAAGCATTCGGCGATATTATCTGAGGGCGTCAACAGGATGTAGCCGAAAGCGTTTGTGGCGCACGCCAAACGCTTAAGCCGTGGGCACAGGTGAGCAGTCAGGACGGCATACCTGCCCATTCACCTTGCTGGCGCTGCGGGCAACTTGGCGCTAATTTTTCACTAACGATAATATTCAAAATTTTCAACTTTATTGCCGCATAAAGTCAATGACACGCACACAGAGACAGAATAAACTTACTTTGGCGCCATTTCCATGGCATTTGCACACACACACACAAACACGCACACATACAAAGGCAAAAGATAGCCGCCGACGTCACCATTTTACTGTTGTTGTTCAGGTTCAGGTTCAGGGCTGCTGCCGTTGTTCGCTCTATTGTTGTTGGAACTTTTATTTATGCTCTTTCTCAGCTTAGCGCTGCACGCTTCGCGGCGCACGCACAAGACTTCACACAGACACACAGAAAGTCGAAAGTCCACAGTTTACGCAAACCCTCAACAGTTACAAAGATTTCCCGTTAGCCATCTCAATGTCGCGTCGGCACAATCCTTATCAAAATCGCACTTGCGACTTGCGAACGTCTTCGCCTTGTTGAGAGTTCATAGCTTTTGGGACTCTTTGTATAGCAATAGACTTTGAGGGCGGTT